TCATCTTTGCCACCTCCGGCCCCAGGCCCCATTCTGATCTCACCGGCCTGTGTCCTGGGCCGGGGGTCATGGAGGCTTTCCTGGGACCAGGGGCCAGCATCCCCCCCCCCCCCGCAGCTCCCTGCCCTGTGAGCTCCTGTCCTCTTAGCTCTCAGAGCGAGCCTCTCCGTTTCAGAGGCTCTGCGCTCTCAGAGGAGCAGGAAGGGACCCTAAGAAGGACGGAGTCTGGCTTTGCCCTTGACTCCTTCGTGACCTTGGGGAGGGCACCGTGCTTCTCTGAGCCTCTCCTTTCAGGAGCAAAAGATTTGGGAGAGGTGAACTTAAACCGCCAGGCCCAGAAGCTGAGGTGTGTATCTGTGATGGTGAATTAGGGGGACTGAGGCCAGACTTTTTTTGGGGGGTGCCCTCCCCCAGGCTCTTTGGCTCCAGCCTCCAGGGTGTTTTCCTGCTTTAGCTGGGGTTTGGTTGTCGATCCCCAGCAGCTGGCAGGATGGGGGGTCTGTTCTATTTTGCAAATGAGAGCGGGAGGTGAGGGAGGGCGGTGGCCTTGTGAGGTGGCCGGCTAGCCCCCTCCCCTCTGGCCGGCAGCCTGGGCTGCGGGTGAGCGTCCCTGCCCCCGCTGCTGCCTCTCCCTTTCATTCTCTCACAAACAGACGCACAGAATTGCGTAGACAAGAGCGTGCTGCGGGCTGCAGGGCTGTGATGGGCCGTGTGCGTGTGCGTGTGTAATGGTGCCGAGTTGGCGGGTGTGAAGAGGCTGGGCTGGGCTGCGCTGGGCGTGGGCCTCCCTCACTGGATGGGAGAGAAGAGGGGGAGGAGGGAGGAAGAGGGGCCGGTGGGAGGGATGTAGGCTCACGGGAGGGGCTTGTACTGGGGAGACCCCACGGGCCCCAGGTGAGGTGCCCCAGGTGTGGCCTGGTGCCCCAAGGGGTGCCCACCTGGGGGCTGGCCCAGGCTCCCCTACAGCAGCTCCTCTCTTCCTCTGGGTCACTGTCACACTGTCACCTTTGGGTCCCAGTCAGGCCTCCGCCCTTGGGAAGCCATGCATGCCCTCCCTCAGCTGATGGGCCTGAGGCTTGGGGCAGGCAGGCTCAGTCCCTGGAATGCCCACAGGCCAGGCTCCCCATTCTGCAGCCATGCCCTGGGCTGGGCTGAGGGCTTGGGTAGGGGAGGCCCCTGAGGAGGAGGCATGTACCTCCCTAGGCTTCTCCACCCAGCCTCCGGGGTTTTCATTTCCATGTCATGTCCTCCGGTCTGGTCTGGGATGTGGGGGTGCCTTCCCCGGGTGGCCTCCCCAGCACCTATGTCTCTTTGGCCTCCTTACAGCACTCCTTAGCTCTGGGACAGCAACATGGTGTCAAGGAGCTGCAGACCCTGGTCAGGTTATTCAAGGCACAGCTGCCTCAGTTTCCTCATCTATAACTAGTGACAAATGACAGTAACTCTGGGTTTGTTGTGAGGAAGAAATGAGTTGAAACAGCGGTGTGGGAAGCGCCTGGCACTTGGGCGACAACAGCATAGCTGCTAACTAGCCAACTCTGAACTCTGCCTCTGCCCAGTGCCCCGAAACCTAGGGGAGAGTGAATGAATTACGCCCCTCACGCTGACCTGAGACCCCGTTGCCCCCCACCCTCCTTGGCCCACCCCAGCCTCTGGGCCCCCCACAGGCATTGCCCCCCTGCTCTTACTCAGCTGCCTCTTCACCCAGACCACCCGCCCCTAGAGACACTGTCACTGTCACGGATCACCCAGTGAGGAACCTTCGAGATCTGTCTTCTGACTCACTGAACCATCACCGGCCTTGTTTTCCTCCCAGCACTTTTTTTTGTCGTCGTTGCTCACGGGTTCGTGGGTCTCCCCGGAGCGCAGGAGCCTTGTGTGTCGTGTTAGCTTCTGCAACCCCAACCCTGGGACCTTGCTTGCGCGTAGCAGGGGGAAGGGTCCTCGACAAGGGGCCCGCAGGAGCTCACTGAGGCCCTGTGGCTGGTGTCCCTCGTCACCTTGGCTGCCCTTCGCCTCGTGTTACCCGCCCCCCCCTCTTCGGCGTTTCACCTCTTCCGCTCTCCTTCCTCTTCAGCCACCACCCGCCCACTACCGCTAACCAAAATGGCGAACTTCACGCCCGTCAACGGCAGCTCGAGCAACCAGTCCGTGCGTCTGGTCACATCCACCCATAACCGCTACGAGACGGTGGAGATGGTGTTCATCGCCACGGTGACAGGCTCGCTGAGCCTGGTGACTGTCGTGGGGAACATCCTGGTGATGCTGTCCATTAAGGTCAACAGGCAGCTGCAGACGGTCAACAACTACTTCCTCTTCAGCCTGGCCTGCGCCGACCTCATCATCGGCGCCTTCTCCATGAACCTCTACACCGTCTACATCATCAAGGGCTACTGGCCTCTGGGGGCCGTGGTCTGCGACCTCTGGCTGGCCCTGGACTACGTGGTGAGCAACGCGTCTGTCATGAACCTCCTCATCATCAGCTTTGACCGGTACTTCTGCGTCACCAAGCCTCTCACCTACCCAGCCAGGCGCACCACGAAGATGGCGGGGCTCATGATCGCCGCCGCCTGGGTCCTGTCCTTCGTGCTCTGGGCGCCTGCCATCTTGTTCTGGCAGTTTGTGGTGGGTGAGCGGACCGTGCCGGACAACCAGTGCTTCATCCAGTTCCTGTCCAACCCGGTGGTGACCTTCGGCACGGCCATCGCTGCCTTCTACCTGCCCGTGGTCATCATGACGGTGCTGTACATTCACATCTCCCTGGCCAGTCGCAGCCGAGTCCACAAGCACCGGCCCGAAGGCCCCAAGGAGAAGAAGGCCAAGACGCTGGCCTTCATCAAGAGCCCCCTGATGAAACAGAGTGTCAAGAAGCCCCCGCCTGGGGAGGCCGCCCGGGAGGAGCTTCGCAACGGGAAGCTGGAGGAGGCCCCGCCGCCGGTGCTGCCGCCTCCGCCGCGCCCAGTGGCCGACAAGGACACTTCCAACGAGTCCAGCTCGGGCAGCGCCACCCAGAACACCAAGGAACGGCCCCCCACAGAGCTGTCCACCACAGAGGCCACCACGCCCGCCACGCCCGCCCCGTCCCTACAGCCACGGGCCCTCAACCCAGCCTCCAAGTGGTCCAAGATCCAGATAGTGACGAAGCAGACGGGCAACGAGTGTGTGACCGCCATCGAGATCGTGCCTGCCACGCCGGCTGGCATGCGTCCGGCGGCCAACGTCGCCCGCAAGTTCGCCAGCATTGCCCGCAACCAGGTGCGCAAGAAGCGGCAGATGGCGGCCCGGGAGCGCAAGGTGACGCGGACCATCTTTGCCATCCTGCTGGCCTTCATCCTCACCTGGACGCCCTACAACGTCATGGTCCTGGTGAACACCTTCTGCCGGACCTGCGTCCCTGACACGGTGTGGTCCATCGGCTACTGGCTCTGCTACGTCAACAGCACCATCAACCCCGCCTGCTATGCCCTCTGCAACGCCACCTTTAAAAAGACCTTCAGACACCTGCTGCTCTGCCAGTACCGACACATCGGCACTGCCAGGTAGGCACGCAGGAGTGCCCAGGAGGTGCTGCGGCCCCAGGTGCGTGCCGGGGGCCACACGGCTCGGCTGCCGTGGGGGGACGTGGAGGCACCGCCAGTGTTCACGCGTGCTGAGGAGAACTGAGGCCCCTGAGGCCCCGAGGCTCAGGAGGCGGCTCTGACTGACCTGGAGGCCAGGTCTCTGCTCAGGCCTAAGCGGGCGGTCTCAGGAAGCTTCTGCGTCAGGACCGCCGGCCGCCGGCCGCCGGCCCCAGGGAGCTGGGGCAGCTCCCCTGCGTCCGACCTGTCCCACTGGGATCGACCAGCGTGGCCGAAAGGACGCACATCTAGAGGGGACCCCCCCTTGGGAGAGCAAAGGGGCCAAGTGCTCAGACCCAGGAAGGGAATGGATGGGTAGGGTCCCCCATTCCGTGCAATCGGTGCTTTCTGTCCCCCTGCACCCTGCATGTAGGCTCAGCCCCTCCTCCCAAACCCCACTTCAGGGGCAGAAGTCTCCCCTTGCTGCAGCTATCCAGGCAGGCCCTGGTTGGGCGGGCAGACTGGCAGGCAGGCGGGAGGTCAGGTAGGGTGGGCTGAGGGGACCCTCGCCCAGCGCTGCCTGGGTCATGTTCAGGAGGGGCCAGCTGAGGTCAGGGATTCCCCCTCAGCACCTGCGGTGTGGCTCCGGGGTGGCCCACCTGTTCTGAAGTGCCCTCCCCTCACCTGAGGGTTTGTCTCAGGCCACAGGAGGGTGGGGCTGTGGCCTGTGCAGTCTGGTCCCTGCAGGGCCAGAGGATGGGTCATCAGGAGGAAATGGGGGTAGCTGTGACCCACACGGGCTTCAGTAATGGCGAGAGGCAGGCAAACAGCCCCACAAATTCTCTCAGTGGATAGAAGCTTCCTGAATGGCCTTTGCCTTGGCTGGACCAAGAGACCTTTGACCAGATGAGGCTGAGGCGGAAGTGTCATCTCTAGTGAGTCTCCCAGTCCCCTCCCCCGCCCTGGTGAGACCTCTGGAGAGAAGGGGACCGAGAGGCTTAGGGGAGTCGATGGGAGTGGGGGTGGGTACCCTTCCAAGGGTTAGTAGGGGGCCCTGGAAGAAATTTTCATAAATGCTCTGCTTTTTCCATGAGCTCTGGGGAGCACTCACCGCCAAGCCCCCAAACCCCACTTCCCTCCCCCCTTCTTTGCTCCACACTCTCCCACCCCCAACAAATTACCACAGCAAATTCCCTGGGAAGGGCTTTTATATATTAAAAGAAAAGCTTTTATTGGGAAAAGAGAAACACAGTTTGGCTTATTTGATTCTTAGTAATGGCATCATTGTGAGGAAGAGAAAAGGGGGTTCCAGGGAATCAATCCCTTTGGGGGGGAGGCTCAAGCTTCCCAGAATCCTTGTTCCTCCCCACTCTGGGCACTTGGGGGTGGCGGGGAAGCAGCAGGGCATGGTTGATAAAGCTAAAAAGTAGACAAAAGGCACTGGTAGGTTTTCTTTGGGGCCAGTGAGGGGTGGGCCAGGGCTCTGGCATCCGCTGGGCACTAGTCCTTTCCCTTCCCTTTCTTGGCTGTAAAACAAGAAAGACCAGGTAAGCAGTTAGGTGACCCAGAAGAACCCCCTACTCCCCTCTGGGAAAACAGAAGTCTGCCCCCTGGCGGTTTTCCATCACCTGAGCCAGAGATGGAGGAGGGGGCTAGGGGCCGCCATTATGAAGCGACGCTTCCCCCCAGCTCCCCAATTTATGCTTTCACTTGGGAATCAGAAAACCTTCAAGTTGGGGGTTCTGTCCTGGGACAGCAGCCCTCAACAAAAGCCTCAGTCTCTCACTCGAGAAGTGGGAAGTCACCTGATGCCTCTGCCCGCAGCTGAGTCACAGAGGAGGTGGGACGGTGCCCCAAAACCACACTAGAAAGGGCGGCGCTGACCAAGCACTGTCTCTGGCTGCAGAGAGGCTGAAGTCACACCCTTCCAGGACAATCTGCCGGACCCTAAGCCAGATACCCCACCAGAACAGTCGTAGCAGACCCAGACGGGGCTGGACGCTTTCCTATTTCCTGAGCACATTCTGGGGGCTGCCCTGAGTAAGTGCCCACTGGAGGGGGCAGAGATGTCAAGAAGTCACTGGTCAGGGTCCAGACATCAGGCTAACCACTCTCCTCACTGGTGGTGGTGGGGGTGGTCAGGGTCCTGCAACAGCTCCCCCACCCAACTGACCTTTAGCCTTGGCTTTGGTTTTGGGGGTGCAGGGCTTGGTCACACGGATGGTCTCCTGGCACTGGGCATTGTACCGCGCCTTCTTCAGGGTGCCTTGGCGCGCTTTGGTGCCGGTGCCCCCATCACACGCCCCCCAGTTCTCAAACTTGTACTTGCAGTCGGCTGCGGGGAGAGTAGGAACCCAGGGTCAGCGCTTGGCAGCCTCTGGCCCTCCCCAGGTTCCTGCCCTCCGCCTGCGCCCCAGCTCACCTCCGAACTCCTTCTTCCAGTTGCAGGGCACTCTGCACCGGATGCGCTGGGTCTGGGCCCCGCAGGTACCCTCGCGGAAACCCACACCGCAGTCCTTGCTGCTGGGGGTGCAGGGTCCCCAGGTCCACTCCGCGCACTCGGTCCCCGGGCCGCCCTTCTTCACTTTGTCTACAACACGCGGGGCACAGAGTTCAGGACCGGGGCACGGCCTCACTCGGGGGGCCCCCTTCTTGGGGTCCCGGGCATCTCAGGATTCCAGCGGCCAGCGCTGCCCGCAACTGCCAGCCACCAGCCCGCTCGGCCGCCCCCCCTCCCCTCCCCCCTCACCTTTCTTTTTGGCCACAGCAGAGGTGAGCGCCAGCAGGGCGAGGAGGGTGAGGAGGAGGACGCCTCGGTGCTGCATCCTGGCGGGAGAGCTCGGGTCAGAGTTCCCCGCCCGTCCCCTTCCCCACCGGGGCCCGAGCACGGACCGCCCACGCCCCCGTTTTCCAGTTCGAAGGGTCGGTCCCTAAGGAGGCGGCCGGACGCCTCGAGGGGTCAGCTCCCGCCGCCGGCCCCGACGCCCCAGGGCGTCACTCTGGGGCCACCGGCG